TATTGTTGTTACTACTATTGTTGTTACTACTATTGTTGTTACTACTATTGTTACTACTAGGATTCTTCTTATTTCTTGTTCTTGGAGCTCTTGTCACCGGCACATACGTTCGGTAAGTACRTACCGTACGTACAGTACTACTCGTRTCGAACATCGAACCCAACCGCAGACGGCACTGCTCCCGACTCCCATTTTTTCTTTGTGGTTGTTGGTGCAGACCGAGAGCCAGGAGCAAGGCTACATACGGTAATACTGTACTGTACTGTACTGTACTGTACAGGAAGTACAGGAATCCACGCCCCGGTCCGTTGCCAGAAGAAAAGCGCGAGGCAAAGAGAGCACGACGAAGGCCAAGAAAACAAGAACAAGAACAACCAGAACCAGAACCACGAACGCGGCATGTACAGCCGGAGGGCACGGAGCACCCGGAACGCCTCGGCGGCCGGAAGCGGCGGGGGAACCCCCTCGAACGCCCGGACCACCCGCGGSCGGAGCCAAAAGGCCAAGCACCCCCGGCGGGGGGGGGCAAACCCCAACGCCGCCCGGCTCCGGGCCTCGATCGACCGGCCGCCCGTGGTGCCCTGGGTGAGGGTGATGCGCAAGCCGGCGGGCCACCTCCGCAACTCCTTCCTGGTCGAGAAGTGGGTCCGGCCGTCCGACCTGAAAGGGGCCGAGCGGGAGTCCTACGAGAAGACCCAGAGGGAAAGGGGGGAGGAGCGCAAGCTCTGGGCCGAGGCGCAGCAGCGGAGGAGGGAGCGGGAGGAGCTTGAAAAGCAGAAGGAGAAAGAAGAGAAGGAGAAAGAAGAGCGGGAAAAGGCCCGGATCGCCGCCGAAGAAGCCGTGGAACAGCAGCCGCAACCACCCGCAGCTTCGGAAACAGCCAAAGAAACAGCCGCAGAACCGACGCCAGCGATTGTGGGCGCATCCTCGAGTGCAACGCCAAGCGCCACGCCAAGCGCCACGCCAGGTGCAACCGGGACGGGGCCTCTGGCACCGGGTGCGGCGCCGGGACCGCCAAACCCCTCGGCAACTCCGAACGGGAAGGATGGGAATCCGGGAGGGACGGAACCTCCGGCAACAGCGACGGCAACAGCGACGGCAACAGCGACGGCAACAGCGACGGCAACAGAAGCTCCCGTGGAGCCACCTGCCGAAGCAGCGAAGGAACCGGCGGAGCCGCCGGGGGCGCGAGAGCCCGCGGAACACGAACCGGCACGCCCGCCACAAGCAGCGACAACGCCGACGACCGACTCCGTGGGCGGTCCTCCCCACCCGCCGCAGCAGGAGCCGTCCAAACGGGCCTCCCCGCCGCCATCGGTGGAGCCGGTGGCGAAGAAACCGAGGATCGAGGATCCCGCCGACGCCGGCTCGGTTCCTCCCCCGCATTGATACAGCGCCGCGCTTCGCTTCCATCGACCGGGGATGCCGCCAAAAACAAGCACGGTACCGCGCAGCTGGTGGGTTYTATGTCTATGGCACGCGGAATCGCATCAAGAAATGGGTTRAATGTTTAAAAATCATAATGCTGCTGCAAGCACTTCCCTCGACGAAACAATAGTTTTTGGTTGCCACGGGATCGAGCGACAAAGGATTTAGAATCGAATCGAATCGAAAGAGCAATGCCAATACCAACGGCGTCGGGCTGTGCGCGTGCCGTTGACTCGCTTCCTTCCATCCTCCCTTGGTTGGTTGGTTCGTTTCGTTTGTTCCTTCGTTCACTCGCCGACTTCTTCCCACCGCCAGGCCATTCTCGTTGCGGTGCCCTCCGAGAGGCTTCCGCCGCTCGTTCCRCCGTCTCTCTCGAACCGGGTGATCCGATCCACTTCGGGTGCGGAAGGGAAGGGCGTCGAGTGAAAGGTGGTTTCGACTACCATCACCCTCCGCTCGTTCTCCCTCTCGCTCTCGTTCTCGCTCCCGCCCTCCCACAGGTACATGTGCGTGTGCACCCATCCCGGGTCGTCCGCGGATCCTTTCCTTTCGTCCGTGTCGCCGCCGCCGCCATCGATCGGCCGGCTCGTCGTCGTGTGCACGGTGCCGTTGCTCTGCCAGTAGGCCTGCACGAGGATCGGATTTCCCTGCGGGTCCTCGAGCCGGTTCCAGCGCGGCCGGTACACGGTGTCGGCGCTTCCTTCCCCGGCCACAAAAGTGCGGTTCCAGCCCCCCGACGAAAGCGGGTGGACGTCCACCAGCTCGAGGAAACGGCCCCCGTCGGACTGYTCCGCCAGGAGCTCCTGCCGGGACACCACCGAGGAGGACGCCAGGAGCCGCCGCGTCCAGTAGGAAATCGCATCGGAACAGCAGGCCTCCAGAAAGGCCTCGTAGTCGACGAGGTCCGACGAAGAGATCGTCCTKGCGGGCCGCCACCGCCCCGTCAGGTCCACCCCCGGACCGGCCCGCGGCGACCTCGAATCCGCCGTTCGTGGTGGCGGCGGCGGTGGCACCGGGGTGTCGGGGACCGCGCCGTCGAAGCGGAACGCCACAATCCTAATGTGTCGCCGAGGTTGTGCTTGTGGTTGAAAGAGTCCCGCGATGGTTTGCGGCAAGGGAATTTCGTTGTTCCTAACCCTCTCTGYAGCGCGGAGAAGATCCAACCTTCGAGAGAGCAGCCGCAACCCGGACGAATCCTTCCCGGGTGTCCCGGTGGCATTCCCTGGGGTATCGGGTTCCGCATCGGAGCGCGGGGACAGGGTTCGTCCATTCCTGCCGCCAAGCCCTGGAGGGGAAACCGCCGTGGCGTTCCGAAGACCGTTCCAGCAGCAGCGGGGCGATTCGGATTTGCCGGGCGTTTCTGGATTCTCGTGAGCAGCGTGGTGGTTTTTCTCCTCCTTCGAGCCGTGGTTGCGACGGCCAAGGGTTTGGAGGGAGAGACGGCCGCGTGGGTTTGTCGGGCGGAGGCAGAGCATCGGCGAGAGACCCTCCCCCCCGCCACCGGCATTCCCGCCGTCCGCGCAGAAATGGTGTGCACCGGCGCGTTCCCCGCCCAGCCCGGGAACGGCTCGGTCGCTGCTTTCCGGGCTGCTCCTGCTTCGAACCAATGGATTGGCGGAAGCCGAACCCGCGGAAACAGCCCAATCGTGTTTTGTCGACGACAGAGAGAGATACAGGGACAGGGACAGCGACGCCAGACACCACCACAGCACCGCTCCTGATCCGATCGGACGGATCATCACAGAATGCGCARTTGACGAATCGCTCGGCCCCCGTCTCTCTCAGAAACACAGCGGTACCGCCGCGCCGTGGTAGACACTCGGGTTTGCCTCACGGGTTGTTGGGGTTCGGCGATCTCTGGAAGTGCCGGGCGACCAAAGCAACAAAATTCTTCGGTAAAACCACAAGTGCCTGAGATTTATCGCTTGCTTGTATTGATATTAAGACTGATTCTTTGTGTCTTCTGGTTTGGGTCGGACAATGATGGTGACGATACTGATGATTGATAGTTCGAATCTTTCTTTCGCACGATGCGTCAAATTCGGTTTCTCTGTACCGGTACGCTCGTTGACAGTATTCCTGGTACCGGCCTCTACTCTTACTCGTATTTACACAACGTAATGGTTGAGCTCGCTAAAACATACCGGCAGCAGAGCTCATCTCGTGGGGATCCTGTATCCAAAACACGACTCGAGCAAATAATTTGTTGGTTTTCTCTGCTGCGCTGGGGTGTCAATGGAAAATTTCCTACCGGTAAAACTTGTACATCACGAATACAGGAATATGGTACGTGCAGTACGTACTGAACGAAGTTGCAATTGCTACGTGTTCATTCGAAAGTACAACTCGTAGTTATATCAGTATTTTTTGTAGTACATAGTCTAATAATTCTGAAAATGAGTAGTAGCTGTAATAATTAAMAATACAGTGAAAAGTTGGTAAAATTTACTAATAGCTATTTCTAGTCCTCCTGGGATATCCTCCGACCCTCATTATATCACCCCCTTCGCATTCCGAAAAAGGTTTCGAAGGTATTAGTTTTCTCCTCGAAGAGAAGATGTTTCGTTTGTGTCTCGTCGTTTCTGGACTCGTTCGCTGTTGATTCCTTCGGCATTCACGTCTGTCGCAAAGCCCTCGTTGTGGTGCGGTCGTGGCTCCACACTCTCGGAGAACTTGGAGMTCTTGGAGAAGGCCGACGTCCGAACGGCTTCGACGCGGGCGGTGATTGTGACCGTCATCCGGGACAAAAAGGTAATCTTTCGGGTCCGGTAGTAGGCGAGAAAATTCCAGAATCCCTGGAGGGGAACAAAGGTGCCCGCAAACAAAAAGAATTTGTAGTTCGAGTACGCGGCACCCGATGCCAGCATAAACTGAAGCGCTAGATACGGTGGCCAGGTCAGATAGAACGCGGCCAGGAAGCTGAGCGATTGGATGAAAAACTTCTTCGACAGCGAGTCCCTCGTGTTGGCGTTGTGTTGTCGCCAACGCAACGAAGCCTTCTCTTCCTGGTAGACAAACCAACACAAATTAGCCATGACAGCCGTTGCAACAACAATCGCAACAACAACCGGCACTTCAGGCCAGTAATAAGCGGTATTGTTGCACCACAAAACCATGTTGTCGTAAAATGGAATCCCAATGAAAGCAAAGAAAGCACCGACAGCAATAGGTACCACAAATAACAAATAGGGGTATTTGCTCTTCCTTAGCTTTTCGTCTCGCCAACCATATCGAATTGTCAATAGGTAGTAAAATGACATGGACACGTTCATATACGACGAGATTGTCCCCATCTGGATGAAAAACCCTTGTGCTTTGCACGTCGCCTCGTTTCCGTTGGCGCCGAGCAAGAAGTCATCTTTTGGCGATGGGAATGACGTGAATGCATAACCAACTGCGCCCGTCAAATCAAAAAGGCTCAGTGCTCGCAGGAGGTTCCCTAATACCATCTTCCCCACCTTTTTGTTCATCGATACATCTATTATGATGAAGAGCGATCCCTAATTGTGTGGATAGAACCGAGTGCGTCAAAGAAGATGAGAAATAACGAAAGATTCTGTTGGCATACGGAAAAAACTGTACCCGTCACAGGTTATGCATCGAATCTGTACCTCATTCTCCGAAGATGATCATCGCTCACCACATATTTTTATCACGCAGTACGTACCAAGAAAGATAATATAGCGCTAACTCGTGGCATCCAAACTAGCGCAAGTTGCTTGGCTTTGGTGTTCGCCCCCGCATAGCCAGGTGATTCGCTACATCCACAGAGATAATTGTGCAACCGAGCGTTCCGGCATCTAGGATCGTCTGCACGTATGTTCAAGTTGCGGAAAAACTCGGCTACCACCCAGCACTCAACACCACCTCCAAACGAGCGCAAGCTGGGAGYAATTTTGTGAGTCGTTGCATTTCACTGATCTAAAAGCAAGTGTGTTTTGTTTTGAAACGTCCAATATTACTCCAGGAAGACAGGCCAACACTTACATTCGGTTGGGGTATGTCATATTCCATCGTTTTTCTTTCAAACACGTTGGAGTCTCAGACAATGGGCAGAATTCACATGGTCCGACATCATTGTTTTTGGATAAAGCTGCGATACTACCATCACTTATGTCGAGAAAGGTAAAGTCCACCTTCGGACAGAACTTGCACGGCAGAGCCTCGAGCTCCTGGTCTTGGCCATTGCCGCAAACATCAGAGCACTCCTTCGTTCCTGCCTGAGTCAGGTCCGAATAGAAACACTTCTGCCCGGTTCCCTCCGGACAAGGTTTGCAAGTTCCGGCAGTCGTTATGGCATAATCGCAGAAGAGACCGTCTGCGCATAAAGTGTTGTTATTGCAATAGACCTGGCAAAAATTGTTCTTTTTGGTTGGGGTACAGCTCATACAAGAACCCTTTTCACCTTGGTCAAAGTTACAAGTCGTGTTCATTCCTTCGCACAATTTCCCTTCATAACATTGAACTTCACACCAATGCTCGGCAAGATCTCCATCGCCAACGGAAAGTGTGACGATCAAGGGAGAATTTGAAGATATCTCTTCTAAGATAGCCCTGCCTTCAAGATGGGAGATTGAGAGAGAAGGGATAAATGTATCTGCGGTGCCTAATGTGCCGTTGAAGTTGCCGCATTTTGATTCTATATTGAAGATTATCGCACCTATCCCACCTCCAGCTGAGCAACTTATGACTTTCTCGAAAAAAGCCACTTTTCCACGTTCTATCAAACAAATGGAGTTGTTCGCGTCCTTGCAAGGCTCTAAGCCAAGGCCGCAATCGACAATTGGACCTGTAACTGATCCCTGTGGGGATCCATGCAAAGACAACGACTTGCCAAGTGATCTTTGCTTTGGTGWYAAAGATATTTGTCCATCAAATATTTCTGTTTCATTTGTGACAATGGTAGAGGAGAAGTGGCAACTGAGGGCACAGGATGACAAACAGGCATGCTGGCCAGCTGCTGTGAGATTCTTCTCCTGACAATAGAATATATGAGTTGGACAGCCTTCGCAGTAACCACCGTTCTCGTCCCCGCCATCGGGGTTACAGAACAAACCATCTCCACATGGTTTCGTCGAAGAGCAGCGATTACTCTCCAATCCACAGTTTTCCCAACATTCCCCAGCCGAGGCTCTCGAAACGGTCTGTCCATCAATGAATACAGATATGTCATATATATTAGATAGGCATCGCTCGGGTCTACCCGGACACGGCGTACAAAGGCCCACGTTGTCACCGAAACCAGGATGATGATGATTTGTGACGCGACAAAAGTAGCCGTCGGGGCAGTATGGAGGAAAGATATCCCTGCTATTGTTATCCACTGGAGTATTTGTCAATGTCGGTAAAAGAGAGGCATCAGGGCCGTTCCGTAATATTTTAGAGGAACAAAGTCTTCCCTTGATTACCCTGGCTGTTTGTTGTGACGAACCGAGCACCACGTACAAATTGGATAGCGATACAGATAGGAATACCGGAAAATACAAAAAAATCATAGTTTTGGATGCCAGAATTAATGTTCAAGAGCGTCCAGCAAGCATCGATAAGGAAAGAAATACTGCGGAAGAGCCGTTTCGAAAAGATGGGAGCTCCATAGATGGGACCTCCATATTACCCTCGACACGAATTAGAGACTGAGGGGAATAATGAAATTTTAAATTTTTCTGCTCGGAATCACGCATGCGACTTACTTGCCCTTCGAGGAGGTGTAGCCGGCTCAGAAAAACACTCACAAAAACAAACAAACACCGGAGGAACTTGATTAACATAAAAACTCGAATGTRTTTTTGGGCCCGTTACTGTAACCATTCTTCCCTACCCCAAGGGCTCTATAAAAAATAGTTGTAYGAAAAAACAAAACCAACACCCCACAACCCTTGTAGAGCTACTAAATACAATTCCAGTCCAGTGCTGGCAACTGGAAGGCAATTCCGAATCTACAGGGCCGGCTGGCTTGCCTGCCATGCGCACCTACCCCATGTACATTACAGTACAACATTACAAATCATATCATACGTGATCTACGTACGTGATTTTATACAGCAAATTCAGTACTGGAGAAACTGCATCCAATGCTGAACCTCTACCAAATGTTCTAAAATAACACTCAAAACAGCACTAAAAGGACACAAAACAAAACAAAAAAAGTTGCACCTGCAAAACRCCTCATCTGCATTCATTCATTTTGCGGATACTCAAGGGACTGGCATGCCGACCATCCATAGTACTGTTCTGAAGTTGCTCAGTAGAATCACTACTGAGATCCACAGGATCTGAGAACTGTGGAAAGTAGCTCATACTTGAAAAGTACTGCTTTGATGTATATTTCTACTATCAATTCTAACTCAATGAATCCAGTATAATAAGGGGTGAGCGTGTGATTCCTTGAGTTAACTATTTTCCATTTGTTTTAGTCTCACAATCTTAATTTAGATAACAGTCTAAATASTACTACTAAAACAATTCAGTACACGTTATTTTGTGCAACGGGTACTCAAAGTAATGCCATTTCTTCAAGTCAATCAGAGTTTTCAATGACGAATGTAATCTTTGATCCACTGGATGATTTTGTACTACAAGACAAGTTTAACATTGGTTCTTTCAAAAAAAGAACAATCAACAATTTATGAGACACTGATATGGAGGGTAAGGTGAGTTGCTGCTAACAAGGAGGATGAGGAGTATGGTGATATAGAGGATGCTGCTGATATGGAGGACTCTGCTGATAACAATGATACAGATATGGAGGACACACCTGCTGCTGTTACCAAGGACACTGCTGGTTAAAGCAAGAATGACACTGATATGGAGGACCCTGCTGATACGGAGGACACTGGTGATACAGAGGAGCAGGCTCCCAGTTTAAAAATAATGGCATTCAAAATTGAAAAAAACACAGGCAAAGTAATGGATGAAATGGGTTCAGTTGCTAAAAAATCCTGGCACAGCCCTTAGCCGTTCTCTGSGCCAGAATTTTTCAAGAAGTTGAATGAAAAAAATTTACAGTCTTTATTGCATTGACAGTTAATATAATGGATTTTACCTGGAAAAATGAGCTTATAGGGGTAATTTCTACTACTAGTATTTGTTTTGGAATTGCCTTTACCTTGCCAGCACTGGAATTGTACTTCGTAGCTCAAAACCCTTGGAGTAAGAGGGGTTTCACAAGGCTCATATTGCTTGACATGCTCAAATCCAAGTCTTTTTTATGATTTTATAGGTCATTTCCCATTAATATGTGCTGCTTTTGGTTGACTGACAGACCAAAAATTTATCACATGTGGTTATAGATTTATTACTTTTGACACACATGTCAAACGAACTCTTTCAGCAAAAGTAATAAATTTATGACGGAACTCAATCAAAATTTTGAGTCTGTTGTAATGTGTAACAGAAAGCCCCACAAAGAACTTAAGACTCAGATATCCTGAACAACAAGAAAGAGAGGCACCTCTGTCAAAAACTTCTTTTAACAATGGCACCACATAAATAATATCCTCCTTCTGATCAGTGCTCTTAGTCAGTACTTCCTCTGTTCCTAAATGAGTGTACCCTGTGGCCTTTTTTGCTTTCCCAACCAGAGTGGCCCTTGTTTACTTAAAACTCATCAAATTGTTTCATTTTACCCCTAATAAAATATGACTGTGTACAACATGTAGAATYAGTACCATAGATAAAAATGAGTATGCACATGTGATTAAAAGTTGTTCTTTTGGAAAAGAATCACCTCTATAAGAAAGCCACCATCTTATATAAAGAGAAGTGTTGCCTCATAAATTGTCAACTCTTGGCTATTGTGCCCAATTATTGGCATATCAAAATGACTGGGTGGGTCTCCTAGAAGCCAAATGGTGGTAAAAACACATTCATATGTAAAAAGTAGCTCTGTTTGAAGGTATAACTTAATTAGTTGAGGAATGCTTGGTCAAGCCCTGAGTGGAAGAGATGGTGGAAGGCAGATTGYACRTATCTACAAATTGTAAGTCAGGGAGTTCTCCTGTCCCTCTAGCACCTCTCTTCTGGAGATAGTTTTTGTAGATTTCTTTTGGATTGCTCCTGGTCATTCAACTGAATTTACCAGTGTATCATGATGGTCTCTGTGACCCCCATTGTGGCCTTCCTTTTTGTTGCTACTGCCACTACTACTACTACTGCTACTACTACTGCT